ATAAGGGGTTAAATATTGCTTATTTGATCCATTTGTCCAGTAAATGAAACGTGTTTTAAGCAATGCTTATTTGATGAACATTTGAAATAATGGTATTAAATGTTTTTCGTTTGAGGAATAAATTAAACAAGGTTTTTAAACAAGTCGGATAAATGTGAAACAATGTTTTCAAACGATGTCTTTTTGATGATTAAATGAACCTAGGGTTTCATACAATGTCTATTTGAGTAAAAGACACGTGTTTTAAAACAATGTTTGTTTTATGAAGGCTACAATGAAAAAAGAGTTTCAAACAATACCTACTCGATGAGTACTGCAATGAAATGAGATTTTTAAACAAGTCTATGTGGTGAGTAACTGAAATAAAAGCTTTAAGCGACCTGTCAAATTAACATCACGAATGAACACTTAAATTAGACACTGCTTGGTTTGACATTTTGCTTTTTCTTAACATTTTCAGCGACACCTTTGAAAGTTGTATTGTTTATCTTTACTTTTATATATTTGAATTATTTTCACTGTTACAGATATTACTACGTAACAGTTAAATCTAAAATCGTTAGAAAAAAAAAGAGTAAAGTGTCTATTTCAATAACTTAAACAAACATCTTCCTTAACTAACTTATTGATTACTCAATTATTTATATATCAAGACAACCATTGGAAACTTTCGAGAGATTGTACGAACTTTGAACAACATCGTGGTTGTTGTTTGCACATTCCCAACTCCTGATGTCTGAACATAATTTAAATTTTTAAATGCCGAAAACCTTAAAAAGGACAAAACATTTTTTCAGAGCAATTTCAACAATAGAAGAATTAACACTGCAAAAACTAAGATGCTCTGAACTTAAAACATTATGGTTACTACTAGCAGTAACCGGTCTAATAAATATGTGGAGATTGACATGTGCTGTGTGCAAAAACAGAAATAGAATATTGTTCTGGTTTTATGACAAATAAAATGAAACATCTATATATATATCCTTCCTGATATCTTAGATCTTCGACAAGATATCGTATCACAGGATCAAGTTTTTCTGTTTGTTTGTTTGTAATTAAGCACAAAGCTACACAATGGGCTATCTGTGATCTGCCCACCACGGGTATCGAAACCCGGATTCTAGCGTTGTAAGTCCGCAGATATACCTCTGTGCCACTGGGGGGCAAGTTTTTCTGTAACAGCAAATACTACTGTAACATACTCTATCATAACATTAAACACTTCTATACCTGTATATATATCTTACTTGTATAACAGTCACAGACTTGAGCGCTTCAATATATAGATATATAGTTCGTCTATATAACACATACCACATCACGCATTTAAGTATTTATATTTTTGTGGATATGTCATATGAAAGTGATTTTTTAAATATTCTTGATTTGTTTTGTACGTGGAAGCTTCTGGGCTATAAGAATACCCCCAGTTATAAGTTCATTCAGGTTAATATTCGTATAATAAACGTAGTGGAGCGTATCTAATAAATAAAGCGGTTTAAACAAAGATTTTTATTTCTAGTATCTTGTTAACATAAGATCAAGAATACACATCCTACCTTACCATATTACCTTACCAGACTTTTACGGAAAAAAAAATGTCAGAAAAATGTAAAGGGAATATTGTGAATAACATGCATGTTATATTACATATCTTGTTCTACGGTTATCACACTGTTAACACACTGGAAGGGGTGCGTGTTATTTCAGTCCTAACCTAGTCTTTTACTAATTTCTTTTATTCCATACTTCACTTACAACCTTAATACATTGTACAAACACATTAATAAATGTCGTGAGCTGCTTTCAGTTTTCAGGGCAATGAAGCTTAACTTAATACATTGTACAAACACATTAATAAATGTCGTGAACTACTTTCAGTTTTCAGGGTAATGAAACTTAAAGAAGTGTATACATCTATTAACCAGGTGTATCTTTCTTTGATTAATGGCAATGCAACTTGCATAATTTTGGGCCTACTGACCACAGCTTAGTATATTTCTAAACATGTGTATTTTTAACTGACGTTTACGTTTCAGACTGACAAAGGTGTGGTCATCATATTTAAGATACAATATTGATGAATATTTTGTCCCTTTTAAACATTAAAATTGTCCCCATTTTCTTCTTCTCGCATTTCATTAAAGATTCAACATGTACTGTTAACTTCTCCTTATACTGATCATCTGCTCCGTAGACGATCTGTGTTAACGAACAAAACATGGAGTAAATTCGGATATTACAACGATACGTACTTCTAACAGAATTTATACATTTCTAAAGTTTTGAAAAGTTTTTATGGGTCAGTATTTTTTATAAGTATTTCCTTACAACTTGTAGCGATGAACAATGAACTCCCTGGAGGATAGCTTCTAAGGTGCTACTGTTTGAAAATAAAAACTACTTTAATAGCACTAAACTTTTAGTTATTTATATCTACTTTATTTATATCATTTACTCAGAATTATTGTATGTTAAGAACCATTCTTTACACTAGTTATTATGAATTACAAATTAAGAATACGCCATTTAATTATATGGTTAAGTAGTGCAATTGTCTAGTGTTACAGTATGGATTCAACATTAGTGTAATTTACATTGTTCAACATTTGCAAATATACACATATTAGATGTCCTAATTAAATCAAACTTTAAAAATTTAAAGTTGTGTAGTTAATACTTTGTTCTCTTTTGTTCAGGGCAATCTCTTGTCTTCAAATTATCATGTCTCAGTTAACAATTTACATTGAGACAGCCGAAAATATCGTAAACTATTTCTAGTTGTTCTAATAAAACTCTTCTTCAGTGTCTGATACTTAACTGAAACACCTGATTGTACACGATAAACCCTCATCACAGATCCAAAAATTGTTGTCAAGAACAAGCGTTATTTGTTATATTGTTAAAATGCAGATGTAGTAAAAATGTTACAGACAAAAATGTCAGGTTAATTATGCCAAAGCAATTATGATACAGGTAATAATGAAAGACATTGTACGTTCAGCAAAAATAATACCAGGAATAAATATATCACAGACATTAACAGTGCTAAACATTGCAAATTAAATATAAATGCCAGTGGTAATAATGTCAAAAGTAAAGAGAAAAAATAACACAAAATGTATGATTTGTGTAGCACTGGGGACATGTGCCCCTGCATTATTTTTATAAGTAGTAAAGTAACACTCTTCAAAAAATTTAAACTATAACATTGAAAATATAACTAAGTCGGTAAAACAAAATGCAGAGTCTAAAGCAAAGCGGGTTGTAGTTGCTAGCATTTTTACTGACTCGATTTAAGTTGGCATTTCTTAATGACAAATCAGTAAAAAATGCGAAAGGTGACCCTCGAGGTTCAGTGTTTCTACTGCCTATGATGATTTGGCTTTCATAGGGAAGATTGTTTGTTTGTTTTTTAAGTTAAGCACAAAGCTACACAATGGGCTATCTGTGCTCTGCCCACCACGGGTATCGAAACCCGGATTCTAGCGTTGTAAGTCCGCAGACATACCGCTGTGCTACTGGGAGGCCATAGGAAAGAGCTTTTTACATATTTTTATTTTATTTGTATTTATTTCGTATATGATCATTAACATAATGCAATAGTGATAGGACTTTTTATTCCAATGTTATATAAAAGGTAAAGTTCAAAAACTGTCCAAACATCCCTGAACTTAAGAAGTGAAATCTATTAGTTTTGGTGAAGAAAACAAAATGATCGAATCTATTAAAATTCATTTTGAGCTCCACACTGCTGTGTAAACCAAATCATTGTCCGTGAAAAATATGTAATACCTAAAAATGTCCACTGGTGAGCATAGCGGAGGCATTGATGTATTTTAATATAATTGAATTACGTTTCAAGATTATTTCATTCGTTCAGAAGCCTTTTAGAACAATTGAAACAAGGACGTCCAATCTCAGTAAAAAGTGGAAGTTACCTTAAAAATCGCAGAGACAAAAATTAGGCGTCATTGTTTAAAGATTGCTCTACAAATCTGTTTTTTGTTTGTTTATTGAATTTTATGCAACGCCAGATAAGGCCTATCTGCACTAGCCGTTCCTAATTTTGAAGCAATAGATTAGAAGAAAGACAGTTAATAAACCACCCATCTTCAGCTCTTGGGTTACTCTAATTGAAAAGTGGGACTTAACTATCACTCTTATAACAAACACACGCACGGTCCCAAAGTACGGAGCGCTGATATCTTCTTTTTTGTGGATGGTAACGGTACGAATCGCGTACCCACAGATCCACAGTCCGATACGCTAACCATTGGGTCACCCTCGGCTCCCACATTTATTGTTAGTTTCAAAAGACCAACCACATTTTTAACGAGGTTATAATATAATGTAATGCAATTTAATGTTTACACTGATAAAAAAACCATTTTACTTGGTTTCCTTTTGGAATGTTGAAAATATAGTCATAGGAAATTAATAATGATGATTGCCATAAAAAAATTAATGATGTTTTTGGACATTTAACAGGCCTGTCATTTTATAGTTAATTTTTATTGAAGGAAAAATAAATAGAAATAAAAAATAACTTCTAGAGAAATGATTTGTTATTTGTTTCGGATATCCGCGCAAAGTTCTTCCTGGAATAAAATGAATAGAAATACGACGATATTAATTTTTTATCATTATTTAATTAAAAACTGTTATTTGTGGGAAGGATGGATGTTTTTTTTCCTTAAATTGTTTTCAAGATGTTCTTTTTTTAATAGAAGTAGAAAAAACATATTTCATAAAACATTTTCGAGAGTGCAAGCTATGACAGAAAGGGCACATGCAAGAAGAAAGTAAAACTTGGCAAGACGACTTCAGATTATCCCTTCTAGCACCACGTGGTCCCACTTATACCTCTGATTACCGGAGTTGACCTTTACTGTCTGTCCTAGGAAAACACGTCTAGACAGTGGGGGACCGCTGATGAATTTTAAATATTCGAAAATAATCCTATATCGAAAGAAAACATATACAATACAGGAAACCTAGTGCTTGTCTAAAATGTTAAGAAAGTAATACTAGACACGAATTTAAAATTGCCAATTTGATTGTATATATATACGAAAAGAAATTAAAAGGTCACTGATGAGAAATGTCACGATTTATACTCTCCTTAATTTATCATATTGACATGTTAAGTAATCTTTAACACTGTAACACAATCGAATATGACCGGTGTTTTTCTTAATAATTAATATACTTATCTTATACTTATTCTAAATTTGACATACTTCGTCGAAATACTTCAGTGGATACTGTAACATGGATGATAATACATGTTGTGTTTTATTGTGTTTTTATGCAAATCTTCATTATTGACCCTTGAGTGAAGGCTGTAAAGCTGATAAACTTTATTTTTATTTATATCTTTCATGAATATCAAAAAGGAGATTGTACCACGAATAGTTTAGTTAGTAGTGTAGAGTGTGAGTTTTCCAAACTTGATCAAGAATTGGTTTCTGAATGTTTTCATTAAATTCTTCAGGAGTTAAAAGCTTCTTGAACACTAATTTAACTTCTAATCTTGAACTTCTAATTTGAGTGTGATTTGATATATTTGTTAGATGCTGTTTGCATTAAGTTTTTGTTTTTAGTTGTTGTTTTTTATTTTGCGCAAAGCTACATGACAGCTATCAGCACTAGCCGTCCCTAATTTAACAGTGAAATACTATAGGGAAGGCAACTAGTCATGAACGCCCACCGCAAACCCTTGTGCTACTCTTTTACCAACGAATAGTGGGATTGACTGTCACATTATAACGCCCCCACGGCTGAAAGAGCGAACACGTTTGGTGGGACGGGGATTCGATCCCACGACCCACAGATTGCGAGTCGAGCGCCCTAACCACCTGGCCATGCCGGGCCATTGTTTTTAGTTTAATGCATGCTAAGAGGCGTATTTTGAACTACAAAAACTTCTAACAAAAGTGTCACACATAAATTCTATGTAATTATAAAAGGTTTCTAAGAAGGTATTAACACAGTTTAGATGTATTCTTTACTTTGTATTATAATCCACAATTAAAGTGGTCATCTACAAAAGAAATCGTCGTCTGAAAGAGTACAATCAAAACGGACCCAGAAACTTAGGAGTCAACAACAAAGACTTCTTAGAGGAATGTGAAATGAAGTCGAATCATTGTAGAAGATGATTTACGTTTCATGTAATTCTACGTTTTTACAAAAGATGCTGATCTTTTGTTAGATCGTCCAGTAGATGTCATTTATTTTATATATGAAAATACTCTCAGTAGAGGGAGTCATGGTTGTTTGTTTAATGCAAAGCTACACATTATAGGCTATCTGCACTATGGCTACCAAGTGGAATCAAATCCCGGATTTCACCACTGTCAGCCCAGAAACTTACCGCTGACCTACTGTGGGATCAAGAGTCGTGAAGCGGTGGCAACCAAGTCACAAGTTTATTGTTTAGGGTGTTGACCAAAATATAATTTTTAATTAGGAAATAGAAGAGTGTATGCTAGCCGATTAAATATTTCTAAGATACGATTTAGCAAGAATAACGCCCGAGTCTTTCGTTTGTCATCTACGTCACTAGAAATATTAAATAACATCGCACAGAAAATACCTTGAGATTAGTGCTGAGCGATTAATCGAAATTTCGATCATTAGAATCAACATCGAAATCGAATGTATAAGATTTCTTGATACCTATAGTTCGATTCGATTAGTACATAAAAAACTGAGCGTCTTTTGTGTGTCCACTCACAGAGTAGCAGTCAGAGCCATTGCTCTCGTAGTTATCTTCACCTGCATTTAAAGGGTTTATAGAAGAAAAAAAAATCCTTTCTTATCTTTGTTACACTGCACACTAAAAATATTTTTAAAAATAAATACATTACGTTTGTGAATTTTCGTTTGGTATTCTTGCTTAGGTTATCTTTATTCATCTATATTTTTCCGTGTTTTTTAATGATCTAATTAGAATAATCGATAATCATAATCGGGATTATTTAGAAATATCGAATCGTATTTAGTATTCATAAATTTTGTTTGTTTGTAATTAAGCACAAAGCTACACAATAGGCTATGTGTGCTCTGCCCACCACGGGTATCGAAACCCGGATTCTAGCGTTGTAAGTCCGCAGACATACCGCTGTGCCACTGGGGGGCCTTCATAAATTTTGAAACTAAATTAATACAGTCTCACTCGTAGAATTACTATCTGTAGAAGTATAAATATTTGAAATATTCAATCTCAAAGGTTTGATGTGGAAACCTTAAATTAAATTAGATTTTTACTACATACACACTTTTTGTATTACCTTTCTTGAATGATACTTTATTCCCTTTTGTTCTTTTTCATCAGAATTATTTAAATGTTTCAACTAGATTAACCACATCATTGAGTTTCGTTCTAATAATAAAACATAAATTAAGATATCATGACTGTGTTGAAGCACTTTTATTTTTGAGAGTGTAATTGACTAAGATGATTGGTTACAGGACTAGGCCTATACAAACCAAATATTGTGATTCAAGAAGTGGCAACACGTATACTTAATAATTTCACGAATCCGTGTAGCGATGAAAATACAGGTGCTAATATACATGATGTAAAATGTAGACACTATATCTAGCTTGGGTGCATTCTTTTCAACACAAAAGTTTGTCTAGAAACATGCTAAACACACAAAGTTAATTCAAATCAGACTGTTAGGTTTCATGTAATAAGAATGACAAGTTAGTTGCTGATCACGATATATTCTTACAGGGTTAGATATTGCGAAAATTACTGAACAAAGAAGTATTTAAGTTGGAATAACGTTTTAGCTTTTCAGCTAAGAATACAATATAATTAAAATACAAAGATATTAATAAACATCACACAACGAGATTGTTACAAGAATATATGATTGTTAGAAACATGACATTGTCTTTTTTTCAGTTTGCTATTTCAGTTCATTAACCCAACTATTATTAGGTTACACTATTATTCTAACTAATTATATATATATATATATACGTTTTTAACAAGTCAAACTGACAGAGTACTGGTGTAGCATAAGTCAAAGGTCAAGTTCTTCAAGCTCAGGAAATGATGTTTGTTTGAAGTTTTTTTAAAACCAGGAACATATAATTCAACTAAGCTGGATGGCAAACGATGTTCATGCAAAACTCTTGAGTTCTGTTGACATTTTAAGCGAAAATGTAGTTTCTGGCTTTCTAAGAACTCAGTGATGTTACCGTCATCTACATGGAAAGTTGATAAACTAACCGTTGTAAACAGCGTTAACATAACGAAAGTATCTGCTTGTATATATGAAACGTTTGCGTATATTTGAAACAACAACAACAACAAACAAACACCAAAGCTATGCAGAGGAAACACAACAACAGCAGGATAGAACTTAAACCAATAACGCTGGCATTTTAATGTTGAATTTTTTTTTAAATTTCGAAGTCTACCTAAATATGTCTTATTAATAACAAACAATTGGTGAAATTCCCCCAAAACGCATCCAAATCTATAAGGCAGTTTTTACTATTTATGTTTCAGAAGGCCTCATTATGTTTATTGTATTTATTGCCTTTATTATATATATTTTTTCTGGTTCACGTCCTGTTGACGTACAATTGTGTTCTACACTTTGAAGCTGTAGGAGCGTTATAAGAGTCATGGTCAAATCCCACTATTCGATTAGAATAGCTCAATAGTTGGCGGTGGGTGGCGGCAACTTCTCTCTAGTCTATCAGCTCAAAATTAAAGACAGTTGGCGCAGATAGTCCTTGTGTTGCTTTGCGCAAATATTCGAAACAAATAAACCAGCAAATAAGGTCAGCTTACTAGTCAGCCTTTTCTCGCTCATTGTCTAAATTAATTATGAGTAGAGGATTACTAAGATAAAGAACAGAATTCCAAAAAACGAAATGATCACGGTATTCTAGACTTCCTTAACAATCCAGTTCCACCTGGTTTTCAGAGGACAATAATACAGAAAGGTTGAACGGACTTTGAAAACAATACGTGGTTCAGGTTTTTCATTCCTTTCAGATCTTATCTGAATCAAGTTTAAATGCGATTGTTTCTGTATTCTCAAAAAACATAAATAATAAGATATACGAAAAAAAAACGTTTAGCAACGCTTTTAAGATATGTTGTTTTTAATATGATGGCAGAAACTTTTATTGCGTCTACTATGACGTCTTAAAGAATTTTTTTTTTCAAAAGTTTGCTGCAAACACTAAAATTATTGCGTCAAGATGTGTAGTAGTAGAAGAGCCTATTTATTCTTTACTACCTCGTCAGTGAGAACGCAAAATTAATCAGCCAATGATTTAGCACGCAATTTAGATGTGCACAAAAGCACTCGTCGGCACTGGATATAGCAGATATAGTTTGGCTGGTATATTGTTGTACATTATTCTATATTTTCACTCATAATTTCGTAAAATTAGGATTCCAGTATTTCCATCTTCGTAGAAAAATTGTTGAATTTCGTAATAGGAAACTGATTGTGATCTTGTTCATTGCTTGTTCAAACTCTACCATTATTTACAATAATCCGAGAACATGCATGTCTGTTTGAAAAATCTTGAAACATTTGAAAGACCATTTGCTTTGGAATCGCAAAAACTGAATGACGACAGGGTTTCATTTTATTTTGAGTTTTGCTCTTAGCCTTCCTTTCTACGGTACAGAAACAACTGGCTGGACGTTTATCACATTTTTACTGCTTGCTTCTAGACCATTTTACTAATTCAAGAAGAAACTCCTTGTAAGAAAAAGAACCAAATTAAATTAAGTGGAAAGTACACTCAAGATATTTTGGGTTGGTATTCGTTTGACATTGGAAGAAAATTAAGGATGTCCGCTTTTTGTATTTATTAATGAAATTTTTTTATGAGTGACACTCATTTCCTTCCTACTTCAAGCTTACGAAACATTCACGAGAACGCTGTTACCACACAGCTATTCGGTCCTCTTACGTTTAGATTAGCCTACGTGTACGTTTACGTGTAGTGATTAGTTTTAGTTTGTACAGTATAACAAACACGCTTCTTATGGATAAGCGCTATCATACATTTTCATAATGTAATATATATGTTACTTTATATAAAATAAATATGTACGGTTTTTAACAAAGCCGGTAAAATTCTTATTACATAACATTTACTATTTTAATGGATGAATCCTCCCTGGTGAAATTGGTACAACCACATGAACTATTTTCGAAAAGTCAGAGTTATGCAAAAGAGAAAGAAAGAAGGGAAAGAAAACATCATGAAAGTGTACTTGCTTGCTGAAGTAAATTTCAAATACTGTGTGGTTATCGTTACCATCGGCTTAGGCTAGACTGTTCAGAGCGGGTGACACGTAACTAACCAGGAATATGTGTCACATGTGTCACAAGCTTGAGTGGAAGAACAAACTCCTCTATTGGAAAAACATGTTCATATTTATAATGAATTATCATATAGAGTTTTAAGTGTCTGGTATTTCGATTATGAACTGGAGGGATAAAGCAATTTTTTATATAATATTTTTATTATTTGACTTACTATTTTACAGATTTCATTTAATTAAATCGAGGTTGAAACTTTCTGATCTAAATTTTACACGTTTGCTTCTGTTGATATACACTTTTTTATTACAAGTTTAATGTCTTGTATTATAGCACAAGTTTAATGTCTTGTCAACTGTAGTACCAGTACAAGTTTTAATATCTTGTCTACCATTGTACTTTCTTTCAGTGCAAAATTTGATGTCTTATCTACTGTTGCACATTTTACCAGTAAAAGTTTTAATGTCTTGTCTACTATTGTACATTCTTTCAGTGAAAATTTTAATTTCCTTTCTACTGTTGTCTATTGTTGTACATTATTATAGCACACATTCAATGTTTTGTCTACTGTTATACATTCTTCTAGTAAAGTTTAATGTCTTGTCTACTGTTGTACATTCTTCTAGTACAATTTTAATGTCTTTTATACTGGTGTACAATTCTCTCCTGTAAGTTCAGTATCTTGCCTATTTACAAAAAGTTTTCTCGTATGAATTACTGGTTAGTGTATTGGTGTTCGTTCATCTTTATTTTTTTATTTATTAAAAACAGATGTACGAACATCTAGTTTTAGATTATTGTCTGTTTATGGGGATTCTTCTAGTACTAGTTTAAAATCTTGGTTATCGACACAAAACTATCTATCATATGTTGATATATTTTATTTTATGTACATTTTTGTTTGTATGAGCTTAATGTTCTGTCTGTTGATATACATTCTTCTAGCATGAGTTTAATGTCTTGAATGTTATTATACATAAATTTTAGTATGAGTTTAGTGTTTTATCTATTATTATACATTCACGTAGTATGAGTTTAATACCTTGTCTGTTTATGTAGATTCTTCTAGCACGAGCTTAATGTTTTGAACGTTGATATACATTACTCTATTATGATATTAATGTCTTTTTTACTGATGTACATTATTTTAGTATATAAGTTTAATGTATATTATATTCATTACATTAGATTAGTAGAAATTGAATGAACTATCTGTTAGTGTTCATTCGTCTAGTATGAATGTTTGCAAGTGAATGTCTTTTTATGTCATTTCTCTTCTATTAATGTACATCTTTCTAGCTAGATCTATTTCGTTAAACTTAAATGTGAAATTACGATTGAATTATTAAATAAAAGTATTTATAAACAGGTTTTCCTACTGAAATATCAGGCTAGCATTTATTTACGTCTATATTCTCCCAGAGTTTTAAGTTGTTTTCAATTTCTGACTGGAACACACTATTATTCTTTAAACTTGTTTTATCAGTTTAATAAGTTATATCGTTTCTTATTCTTAAATTAAAATTTCTTAGAAACTACATTTTCCATTATCATTCTAGGTCCACTGGCATTAGACATGCACGGATCATTCGCAGAAAAGCATGTTAATGTTGTATTGTCTTCACAGTGACTTTGATAAGCCAACATGGAAAATAATTTTCTCGTTAATAAAGGACAACTCTTTTAAACTAAAAAAGACGCATTCCTAGTATGCTAGTGAAGCAAATAATTATATTAGAACCAGTTCAAGACATTTATTGCCATCAGAAACCCTGATGCTTGATTGGAACGAGTACCACAATTTAGCTCACTTCAGTTTACGCTATCGCTCGCTTGAAAATGGACATTTCTGCTTGTTGTCATTCATTTAGCCGACATGTACAATTTTAGCAACCAGCTTTTGTTATATTAAACGTTATCGCAAAAAGTACATGATTTTATTGCATTTGCGTCACCGCAATACACATTAAAATATTGACTTTTAGTTTAAAATGTAATCCTTTCGTCGTAAATTTTCACAGTGGTTACAAAATCTCTTTGGATCTTAAGTTGAAAGTATGTGATGAGACATTGAAACAGTTTGGGAATGTGAGCATATTAATACAGTTTTGTCTAATGTTATTGTGAGATTTTTGTTGCAAGAACCTATGATGGTCACAGTTATTCTTCATAGTGTAATATCATTACTATAAAGTAATTGTTTTTACCTACACATATATCGATTTAGGTAATTTCTTATTTAGATTACTTGCAAGATTTAGCATCAATTTGGATGTGAGTTTTATAAAATATTTCATAGATGATAACATCAGAAAATGAGCTAAAACATAATCACTAAATTCAAATGTGTATGCAGCCGTGGCCGTACATCTGACTACAAATAGTTTACAACGTTGTGTGGTATTAGTACATTGAATGATGGGGGTGTTTCTGCAGTTGTGTCACATGTTAACAAAATATTGCAACACACTGAACGTAATGCGATGTAAGAAATACAGTAAACGCCTGTGTTCAGAGTTAATGAATTCGGAAAATAAATCTACTGTAAAATAAGCGGTCAAGTCATGCCATCCAATCGTAATTACAAAAACTGTGGCTGGACCCGTCAGTAGACACGAAACATGACGTGTGCCATTGTACGTCTACCGGAACGCATACCCAGTCCATTCTGCTGGGAGAGAGGGTAAGTATACCACTACGTGCACAAACTTTCTTAAGTTCAAATCTTTCGGGCGCTTTTTAGCGTACTGTTAATACAACACACTGCACATTATTTATGCCATCATCGTGAATTCTAGAAAGTTTGAAATACACTTATTTAGTGAAAGTAAATACACCATAATCTACCTATGTATGATTAAACAATAAAAACACGACTAGAGAAGACCTGCCTTATGATTTTTGGAATATTCATTACTTAACACAAGTAACTTATATTAATTCCGGTGTTTAAATAATGACAATATAATTATATCAATTAATACTTCAATTATTTTGGTGATAATAGGAAAAAAAACTATTTTCAACATGTATATATGTTGAATAATACAAGATAAAACTTGTACAGAAAAAGCTTTTACCCGGCTGTTTATCTCAAATTGAATATCTTAAGAATAATAGTGAAGAACAAATGCTCTTAGAGATTTTCATTGACGTTGACAGCTGTAAACTGGTTACAGAACGAACAGCTAAGCCATTTCAAGAAAAGACACCATAATATACAACTTGTATAACTACATAGTGTGTCTGAAAAGCGTTTATTAGGACTCAGTGTAGTGTTTGAACAGGCTACAAATTAGGAATTATTCAACTAGTAACTCGCTTGTCACTTTCTGAAAAGAGAAAATTAGATCTTTGAAACATTCATTAATAGGTCGAGGTAGGAACAGAAGAAGTGAATATAGCTAAGATGAAAGGATATTACCACACTGTCTCAGAGCAGTACCAGACTGTCAAGGCCAAGAAACAGAAAAGGGAATGGCTAATATAAAATGATAATGTCATACTGTCTCAAAACAGGATCAGGCTGGAAAGGTCAAGCAGAGGAGAAGTGAAAGGCCAACATGAAAAGATAGTACCATAATGTTTCAGAACATTACCAAGCTGTCAATATCAAAAATCAGGAGAGGGAATGAGCAACATGAAACAGTAGTACTACACTGTTTCAGTACATTACCAAGCTGTCGTGCTGAAGAAGCAGGAGAAAAAAATTAACAACATGAAGCGATAGTACCGCATTACTTCAGAACAGTACCAAGCTGTCAAACGTTAGAAGCAGGAGAGAGAGAATGAACAACATGAGGTAATAGTGCCACACTATTTCAGAACAGTACCAAGCTGTCAAACGTAAGAAGCAGATGAAAAAAAAAATAACAACATGAGGCGATAGTACCGCATTACTTCAGAACAGTACCAAACTGTCAAACGTAAGAAGCAGGAGAGAGAATGAACAATATGAGGCAATAGTGCCACACTATTTCAGAACAGTACCAAGCTGTCAAACGTAAGAAACAGGAGAGGGAATGAACAACATGAGGCAATAGTGCCACACTATTTCACAACAGTATCAAGCTGTCAAACGTAAGAAGCAGGAGAGGGAATGAACAACATGAGGCAATAGTGTCACACTATTTCACAACAGTACCAAGCTCTCAAACGTAAGAAGCAGGATAGGGAATGTACAACATGAAGCGATAGTACCACACTATTTCAGAACAGTGCCAAGCTGTCAAGATCAAGAAGAAGAAGAGAGAATGCCTAACATAAAATGACATTATGACACTGTTTCAGAACAGGATCAAACTGTCAAGGTCAAAAAGCAGTTGAGAAGAATGACTAACGTGAAACAATAGTACCACAATGTCTTAAAGCAGGACCGGGATGACAAGGCCGAAAAAAAAAATGAAGAGAAGGGCGTAACTGACATGAAATGAATAGTGCAAACATTGTCTCAGAGCATCGACTGTTAAGGAAAAAAAAAGAAATAACAAGCAAACAACAACTTAACTTACCTGAGGTTAGCACATACATACTGTATACATAGTCCCTTGAATGCAGATTGTTCTCATCACTATTATTAAAAGTATAGCACAAAAATAACACAAATCCAACTAATGGTAGTACAGACGGGTGAAATTATACAGATTTTTTAACAAATTGTTTAGAAATAAATTTTACTTTTCTAGGCATAAATGTAGTTCTGAAAAGTATTTTTTCAAGATGTCACAGTTTTAGTTCTGAAAGTTGGATATAATACGTTGAATTTTTAAACGTGATTTCATTTAATATTGATAAGTCACGTACTAGTTACAGCTGTAACTCTAGAATTTCGAATTTTGTCAACTTGTTCTGCTTGTGTAGAGGTAATCAACTTAATAATTTTGGTGTTGAAACCATTAAAAACGAACATATTAATAATACTGTTAGGAAAGACGAAGTTGTAGTTGAGAAATACGTTCTTGTTGGTTATTTTCATGTTTGTGTATTTAAATGGAGCTCGGAAATGCATAAACTAGAATGGTAACATAACAAGTTTGTTCTAAATATTGAAAGAATTGCATAATACTGGAATGGTAATATAACAGGTTTGTTCTAACTAAATATGAACAGAAATGCATAATACTAGAATAGTAATAAAACGTATTTGTTCCAAATACTGACAGAAATACAAAATGCTAGAATGGTAATATAACGGGTTTGTTTTAAATATTGAAAAATAAATTATTTCGCGCCACAAGATGTATTCTCCTCACAACGAATAACTCTGATGCAAAACAAAAAAAAAGATCCTAGTGCCACGTTTGTTGTTGCTTCTCTGTGGCAATTTTCTATTTAATTTTGTACGAACATTACATTTTTTGTTCTTCATCTAGCAGATTTGTAAACCAGGCTAGAGCCCTACCTTTTTTGCTGCATTAAAGTGTGTTTGTTTTGAATTTAGCGCAAAGGTACA